GAGAAGGAAAAAGACAATTTGATGATTGCGAAGGATGGGGAAGAGAGAGCTGCATCCATTGTAGCTTTTTACATGGCAGCACTTTGAATAGGCCACTCTGAAATACTGATTAAATACATGGAGCCACAGCCAAAATGAGACTCTACAATGTCTGAGAAGTGCACAAACCATAATAGACCTATTTCCAAGTCACACAGAACCATCTTCTTTTCAACCGCGACATAGAGGCTTTGAGTAAACTGTATATTAAGTGAACTGCATTAATTAAAGATGGATGGAGGCAGGTTTTTATGCACTGATTCCTCCAGAAGGATGTCCCTAATCATCGAGTGAAATCTCAATTATGTTTCCATTAGCATTCACTGGATAAAGACCTTTTTTTTTTTTGCCTTGCCTGGTAAGTCAGAACTGCTTGGTATGCATATTTAAATAACAGTCATCTTGAATTAGCTTTAAGAACTGGCTCTTAACGTAATGGATGCATTAAAATGTAAAGCAAAATGAAGGTGACACATAAAGACTTTAACACCCAAGAAAAGAGCAGGGGGTATGAGATATTGCAACCTCCTCTGCCATTTTCTATGCCTTGGATTATGGTAATGGCTTTGTGAACAGATCACAGTCATTTAATGTCTCAATGACTGCGAAAGTTAGCTCTGATAAAAGCTCCAGCTCTGCTAAAACCTATTTGGTGAGAAAGGAAGCACCTATCCTTTTCTCACTTCCAGGTATATACATGGTGCTTAAGAAGTATGCTAGAAAGAAACCAGATTTATTGCCAATTATTTTAAGGAGAAAGTGCTTTGTACAAATTCAAAGATCGACCTCATGTCAGCTAGTGAGGCCATACTTTGTACCCAAAGTCCCTCCTCCACAGTTTATGGGGAAAAAGTATATCATGAGCGGTAAGATGCCTGAACACATTCCTTTTCAGCTCACTTAATTATAATGCTTAAAAAAAATATTGACCTCAAGGACTAGGGGAACTATGACAACTGAACCAAGGAATATTTATTGGTGACAATAAAAAAAATGTTCTTTCATTACAAAGCCAAAGAAACTGAGGAGAACAAAAGCCCTGGAGGAAGATCCAAATGCATATTTTGCAAATATGCATTTTGCACACCTAGAAATCAAGATGTGTTTATGTAACAGTGTTTGGGGACAAAGACGGGAGTGTCTCCACTCAGAGGGCCAAACCACTCACCACAAATTAACCAGGAAAGGGTGCTCCAGACCCTGCATAATCTGGAGTTCCTTGAAGACGTTTCTCACTTCATTGCGCTCCACACACTTCTGTTTATTCATGTACTTCATTGCATACATCTTCTTAGTATCATTCTTCTGTACGATGCAGACCTAACAGGGAAGACCCGGGTGAGAAAGTGATTAGGGAGGTGATGAATCGTGGTGATGAGACACAGAACAAGACTTGCTCTTTGCTGTGGCTTGGTAGCTTATCACATGCAAATTCTCTGATGTTTAAGTTCCCACTTCACTCTAATTTCAGAATAGAAATTTCATCTTCTTCCCTATGCACCAGTTCAATTCTTAAATCTCTCAAACAAGTTTGCCTGTTTTTGCTTTTTGAGACTTTTAGACAGCATTTTGGAGGAAATAGCTGCCTCTGTGTCAGGAATCTTCCACTAACAAATAACATCCTTAATCCTGCTTGGAGTGACGGAAATGGACGCGACTAAACTGTTAAGCGGAAAAATACCGTGCAAAGAATTTTTGTTTACGATCACAGGTGATATAACCAAAAAGGACTCTAAGGACTAGGAAAACACTAAATATGATCTCTATGTTT